GGTCAGAAACCTGCGGGCTTTAACGACGCCGGATTGCGGCCCATTTTGCCTTTCTGGTTGGACCTCCCGCACTGCGACATCTTCTCCTGCATCACGCCGGACATTTTGCATCAGCTGCACAAAGGCATGTTCAAGGACCACACTGTGAAATGGGCGATGAACTGTGTAGCGGGAGGCGATGATGAGCTAGATCGTCGGTTTGCAGCCATGCCAATGCACTCAGAGATTTGGCACTTCAAGAAGGGCATCTCGCTCGTGTTCCAGTAGACGGGAACCGAGTACAAGAACATGGAAAAGGTCTTCCTCGGTGTGCTTGCTGGCTCCGTATCTGAGGACGTGATGCGCGCCGTCCGTGGACTCTTAGACTTTATCCACTACGCCCGGTTTGAAACTCACACAACTACATCTCTAGAGGCTCTCAAAGTGGCATGGCGGCAGTTCCACATATACAAGTACGCGTTCATTACTTACTACAATGCCAAGCAGGCGATGCCGGCGAACTACGCGAATTTCAGCGGCATCCCGAAGCTTCACAGGATGGATCACTACATTCAGTCGATCCGTCTGCTTGGCACCGCAGACAGATACAATACAGAGGGCCCAGAGCGTCTGCACATCGATTTTGCTAAGTTGGGTTACCGCGCAAGCAATCATAGGAATTACTTTGGCCAGATGACGACCTGGCTCGACCATCAGGAAGCCGCCATTTGCTTCGATGCCTATCTACATTGGCTGCAACTTCCAGGGCTTGTTTGATCCAAAGCGACCAGCAAGAATCATGTGGATAGCGGCGATGAAGATGAAGACCTTGAACAGAGAGAGAAGGAGCTGAAGGATGCGGAAGACAAAGAGGAAGGCATCGCACGAGCCGAGACAACCAGCGTCCAGTTCAAGGTTGCAAAGAAACCTCCGTATCCGCTACTCTTTGCTGGCGCCATCGCAAAATCTTACGGCGCTCGCGACTTCTCGTGGCATCTCGAGGCCTTTCTCACGGAACGCGCTCACTCTGCAACTCAGCTTGTCCCCCAGTCTACGATAGCGGAGATCAAGAAAATCAGCACGAAAACTGGAGTTCCCGTGTACAAGCAGCTGAAGCTTCGATTACCCGCCATGGCGCAGGTCTCGACAGCTGATAGCTTAGAGTGGGACACCATCCAAGCAGTCCCCAGAGCTTCTGAGAGCCTCAGAGGCACGGAGATCAACGCCATGCCCGCAGTGTTCTCGACGGTCTTAGCTCACCGATGGTCATCTCAGACAACTGGTCTATCGGGGTGTTCGCCTTTGCATGGTGCGTCGTCTTTCTGGTTCGCGTATAATATTTTCTTACCATCTCGAGTGCTAGACCTTTCGATCGGGCAAGTGCGTGTCATCTTTCGTGCTCCCGATGTGTTCCGTGACCTTGTACCTGAGCTTCTCGTGTTTGTTCAGTGGTACACTCCACTGAATATGTACGATGAAGTCTCAGGTATGTATTCAGTTGGCGTATCAACATCTAACCATGAGTGCAGCGCATCTGTGATTCCTATCACTGCTCTCATAAGGTCATGCCATTTGATTCCAAACTGGGGGCGGGCTATTAACCAGACATGGACCCAAGAGAACGTGCTGAATCCTGCTGCCTGCACACGCTTCTATGTCAATCCTTACACACGACTGTCAGATTTTGTCCTGCTGTGTTATGTACCTTGGCTCCACAGGAAATAGGTGTGTTATAAAATTTATATACCAACTGGCAATAGTTGTGCTACATTAACACTACTGATGCGAACAGTGCTACGATAGAGCCCCCGAGGCCATCGTCCTCCTGCTACGCGCTGTTATGCACTATAACTATAAGTATAGGAAAACTAAAGGAATAATAGGTATTCAAATCAAAAAGAAACTGCTTACTCAGAGCTGCAAAGTAAGCATAAACACTTAAGCTTATTAAAAGTGAATCAATGACTAATAATATGACTCAGCTTCTTAGTAATCTAGAAACTATGCTTAGTAAAGGTCTATGCTCAACAGCTATGAATTACCAAAATATAGTAATACTCTAACAAACATTAGTAATAGCTTACCAATACATTAGTAAAACAGACAGAAGGCTGACTAATACAGACAAAATGCTTATTAATAAAAGTAGAAGTAGCTTAGTAATTACAGTAGAATAGAAGAGCCAGTTTTGCTATTGGCTAAGGAACAACAGGCTGAAAGGTATAAATAGGAGAGGTTCTCAG